AGACCCTTTTCACATGACGTCAGACAACATCCGTTTTGACTCGATCCAGTGTATCTTTAGTTCCGGTGTGTGTAGTTAACGCTGTTTCTGGACTCTAAAGCAGCTGCCACAAATACGATTTGAAGATATATCACTATTTGCAAACAATTTTTCTTCATCAACATAATCTAAACTGGACAAATTCCTCGCTGATTGATACCAGTTTGACTACGAAGGTATGTGTTTTGTTTTTTTCTAGCTGTTAGTTGATATGCTAGGATAGCAATAGTAATTTGTTAGCTGGCTAACATTACGTAGCCTTTCTGTTTTGGAAATAGAACGTATTTAGGCTCTAATCTTAATCACATTTTTATAGTATAGACTGGGGTTGCCACCCGTCACGTAAAATGCATGATCGTATTTAAACCCTCCTCACTTACGCTAGTTTGACCACCTGCTAAGTAGCGACATTACCTGTAGCCACAAGTCCAAAACTTGACAGTTATGCCAAACACCCGATGCTCCTGAGAAGTTAAACTCTTACTACGATCAAGACATGAGGAGGAAGACGCTGTTATTTATAGATAGATAGATAGATAGATAGATAGATAGATAGATAGATAGATAGATAGATAGATATTAACGTTTCATTGGAGAAATGTGATGAGCTATCTCTCTCTCTCTCTCTCTCTCTCTCTCTCTATATATATATATATATATATATATATATATATATATATATATATATATATATATATATATATATATATATATATATATATATTAGCTCATTAACTTCACATTTCTCCAATGAATATTTATCAAATGTTACGATTAGAAGGTTAAGTTTCTTATACTTTATCTTCCTGCGGTTGTAGACTTGGCAGTAGAAAATTGATAACATAGGAATAACAACTTTATATCCCTTTTAACAGGTTACACTTGATTCTGCTGTGGTGCCTGTGGAAACAAAGTACATGAAGTTTGTACTGAGGTGGGAAAACCCTGTGGATCACATGGTGGGACTTCTGCTTCAAACTGCTCATTACAGTTTATCATTACCTCTGTCATCCACCAGTTCACTGCAGACTGGCAGCCGCCAAGGACCCAACATGGATGTCTTCTTAAGTTGTAAACCCTGAGTACATAATGTTGAAGTAAAATTGATATGCCTTTTGTAAATACATTTTCTCTATCAATGACTTAAATTGTTAACTGTGATAATTAGGTTTGTGTAATGTAGTAACCATGTAGTTTAACATAATTATTACATAGATGTTTTAAAGAAACAGCCACAAACCTTATGCCTTTGGTCCACAATGGCAGCTTTAATTTTAGCATTTCCTCTCCTTCACATACTTCGTTGCCAGATGTGTAAAATTTACAAAAAGAAGCAATTTAAATGTAAAAGTTGCACATATGTAGATTACTCAAGAGAAGCTATTTACAATAGTTTTTACAGAACTATATACAACATCAATTCATTTATTAATAGATACATATAGATATTAATTACAGAATATATACACAAAGATTTCATTTCTAACACAGCTGCTAGCAGTAGTGAGTGTTCATCCAAGAAGTGTGACTTGCAGGAGCAGGGAGGCTCTGTACTGGTTTCTCCTTTTAAATCAAGAGGCCCATGATAGGTTGATGTTAGGCAGCAGATGTCCCACAGCTGATTGACTGAACCTGCCATGGACAGAGGAACAAGACCATCCCAGATATGGTAGGTTGTTAGGTAGGCTACTGTTGAGAAAGATGGACAACAAAACAAATGGAGAAATTATGAATCACATCAGAATATGTAAATTATTTGGCAGATAGCGCTTAAATCAAT